AAAAAAAAAAAAAAAAAAAAAAAAAAAAGAAAGAAAGAAAGAAAGAAAGAAAGAAAGAAAGAAAGAAAGAAAGAAAGAAAGAAAAGCTGTGTTTAGGCAACACAGTCTTAGGTCACTGATCTGCTCTTGTTTCTGGAAATGGGCTGAGTGTGCTGTGAAGAGAACTGGCAGATGGCGCCAGTGCCCGTGTGGACCTCCGCCACCCTCCCCACCCACCCCAGCCCACACATTCCATGGCCTCCTCCCTCTGTGGGGGGTCCCTGCAGAATGAGGGGACTGAAACGAACAATCTCCCAGAAGAGATGGGTTTCAGAGGCCAACATTCTGAGTTACTAGGACAGCAGGAGTAGGCGGGTAGTGAGAACTTTTTGTGTGGGGTGAGGTTGTGTCAGACAGGCAATATCATTGTGAAAGCCACGGTCCTCAAACCCTGTAGACTCCTGACGGCAAAGGTGTGTGGCCTGAAATCTTCTAAGAACTGTGTTGGACATTTTGTCAGATAGTATTTCAAATTTACAACCGAAGGCCGGTTACTTATTAACAACTACCTCCAAGTCCGTTACTATGAATAGTTTGTTCTACAGAGTATTCCGTTTTTTATTAAGGAAATTCTCATTGCAGTGAGAGTCAGCCTGTTATCTGACATACAATAATGGGTTGCAAAAGTCACCTTTGTCCCTAGTACAACCGAGGGCCCCAGGGCCTCTGTATGAGTCAAGAGTAGACGGTTGAGCGCTGGCCAAGGACTTTGAGCTCGTGGAAAAGGCCCCTGCTAGCCAGGCTAGTCCTGGGGCTGCCTGGGGCACCATTCTCAAACCTGGTACCCAGCTGAGAGGACTTGGCGGGGGCGGGCACGCAGCTCAGCACATTTTGAGCAGGAATAAGGACAAGGGTCGAAGACCTGATGTTTGCATTTGGCGAGAGCAAAGGTGAACCAGGGCAGATGGGAGAAAGACGCCATTGTAAGACCAGCCGACCTGGCCACAGAGCAACGTCAGTCCCATCGGAACGAATGTCGGGCAAATGGAAAGAAAACCTTGACAGGTTTGATTTTTAAATCCTTCCTCAGCTTTACGCAGCGGAGGTTACGCGATCAGATCCAATATGTGACATGTTAGCCACATCAGCTAAGAAGCCTGGACGTGCACGTGCTGGACCTGAGTCCCCCTCCTGCTCCTTCTGTAGTTAGGGATCTGGTTCTGACCTAAGCTGATGCGGCAGAGACGACATCACTGTACTGTCTTAGTCAGTGTTCTAGCGCTGCGAAGAGACACCATGATCGCGATCGATCGCGGCAACTCTTGTAAAGAAAGCAGCACGTAGTTGGAGGCTTACTTAGAGTTTCAGGGGGTTGGTCCGTTATCTTCACGGTGGGAGCAGGATGGGAGGAGAGAGACTGGACCTGGTGTGGGCTTCTCAGACCTCAAAGCCCACCTATGGTGACACGCGTCCTCCAACAAGGCCACACCTCTTAATCCTCCTAATCCTTTCAAAGAGTACCACTGCCTAGCGACTAAGCATTTAAATCAATATACGAGCAGATGGGGCCATTCTTATTCAACTACCACATGAACCAATGACATTTTTATTAATATTAAGTAAATATTTATTAACAAAACACCCAGTCTGGAGAGATCCAGCTGTATAGAGCAATAGCCCTGTCTGTAGCAGGACGAGGAAAGGGCTGCTTAGATCCCAAGGATGTTCCAGCCGCCAAGAAAGGACCTGGGTCTGTGTTTCCAGGAAAAGGAACCCGCTAAAGCAGAGTTTCCGCTGTTTCGATACTGTTACATTTCTCTCCCGAGAAAAGCGCTGGGCTGGCTGTGTGCAACCACCTGCCACTGAGAAGGACAAGCCAGAGCAGATTCGCAAGACAGGCTTAGAGGATCAGCGCTCCGAGCTGGACCTTAGAGATAGCAGGATCTTGCCGGGCGGTGGTGGCGCATGCAGATGGATCTCTGTGAGTTCGAGGCCAACCTGGTCTACAAGAGCTAGTTCCAGGACAGGCTCCAAAGCTACTGCTGCCGTGAGGATGCTGAAGGGAAGTGGGAAAGAAAGGGAGTTTTAGGCAGGGGAGCACACGGAGCAGAGGCGCAGGGTACATGTTCCAAGCCCGGCTTGACGGTCTCTTTCCTCCTTCTCAGAGGAAAGCCAGCCGACTGCTGAAGGGCGAGGACAGGAACAAGGTCGGCAGCAGGAGCATCGGCCTGGACACCGGCGCCTCCCACCCCGCGGAAGGCCGAGCCCCTCTTGACGGGGGCCCCCTCTCTCCTTCCAGAGAGTGTTGGACCAAGGAGGAGCGGCCAGCACAGAGCGACAGTTTCTTGGGGTTCAGCAGCAGCGACAGCGTCCTGCGGGAACTGGATGACGGACAGTTTGAGCAGGAAGAGGGCGTGACGCAGGTCACTTGCATGTGAGCAGCCAAGAGAAGCTGTCGAGGGCCTCGTGAGTGGTTATTAAATGTCTGCCCGCTGACCTGATCTCACTACTGCTATGCATTTACATAACGTTCTTCACTTCCGGGCTCGGGCTTCCCCCTGTCTGTGTAAAGTTTGTCTCAATCTCTCAGACAAGGAAGAATAACCCACTATTTATCAATTGAAAACATGCTTACATTTCTCTCAACTAAAACATCAGTGTAAATAGAGGTCCCAGCTGGTCCTTAAGAAAGAGCCTGGCTCGTTTCCTCATGCACGGACAAAGCCTAGCTCCTCATCACGCCTGTTAAAGAGACTGACTATCCAAACAAGCTCTTCAACCCAGTAGAGCCTTCTCAGGAAGCCACAGCCTTGCTGAAACTCAAAACTGCTCTCTACCCTGTCTCACAGACACAGACTATCTATCCCCCGCCTGTAACAATCAGTCTAATTTTTGTTTCTGACTGGGGCATGCGCCTACAAATCAAACCCCTATTTTTCATAATAATTTCCAAAAACTATTTCCTAATTTTTTTGTTTGTTGTTTTGGTTTTTTTTGTTGTTGTTTTGGTTTTGTTGTATTTTTCAAGACCAGGTCTCTCTGTGTAGCTCTAGCTGTCCTGGAACTCACTTTGTAGACCAGGCTGGCCTCAACCCACAGAGATCCGCAGGCCTCTGCCTCCCAGTGCTGGGATTAGAGGCGTGCGCCACTACTGCCGAGTTTGCGTCTTCTTTCAAAGGGCCACCACCACATGGCCAGGCCTGCAGTGAATCGTTAACTTTGGCATTGTTGACCCCAAGAGCCTACCAGCAACACTAAAGAGAATGAATGTCTTAAACCAGCCGAGGGCTGGCAAGATGGCTCAGTCAGCAAAGGTGCTTCTTGCCACGCCCGCCCGCACATGACCTGCGTGCAATCTCTGGAACCTCTATAAAGGCAGAAAGACAGACCCGGCTCTACAAAGTTGCGCTCTAACCTCCACAAGCATGCCTTAGTATTTGGGCCTGCGTGCCGGTGCACACGCACGCATGCGAGCACAATAAAACTGGGTTTCTAAAACTCAGCTGAAAGAGAGCCCACAATCTCAGTGCACAAAAGCCATAGCAGACGAAAACATTGCATTACCTCGAGCATGTTGGCACACCTTTAATCCCTGGCACTTGTGAGTTTTCGGACAGCTACACAGTGAGACCCTGTCTCAGAAAAATAAACAAGCTGGGCAGAGGTGGCGCACACCTTTACTCCCAGTACTCGGAAGGCAGAGGCAGGTGGATCTCCGTGAGTTCGAGGCCAGCCTGGTCTACAGAGCCAGAGCTACACAGAGAAACCCCGTCTTGAAAAAGATATTTTACTTTCTTTAAATTTGTAAATATCATTGAAGAGGGCAAATATAAACTTGAAATGGACGTGAGCCTCCTACAACTGTTAGGTTCAAGTTGTGTTTTTATCTTGACACGCTAAACTTGGAAAATGTTGCAAGCCAGACTTCTCAGTTCTGCAGGAGCGGAGAGGGGCTCACAGCCCATGAGGTGTGCGCAGGACTGACTTACTCCGTGCCTGCCACCAGGAAAGTCTGCATCTTGTCCCAGTCCTTACCCTATAAAGATCAGTCTTCTGGAGAACAGGGGACTGGACTTGCATTTACGTCTGAAAGGAAGGCTGACCTCCAAAAGGATTACAGTCGGCTATGCCATTAAGCAACTCACATATACTATATTTTTATTGGCTTAATGTGAACATTGTGAGCCATTTGAATAATAAACTATTTGTTATTAAGCTATTGTCTTATTGAATGCAAATATTCCAGTATTTTATTTTTGTTTGGCTTGGCTTTGTTTTGTTTTTCTTTTGGGGGTGGGGGTTGAAAGAGTTTTTCTCTGTAGCCCAAGCTGTCCTCAAACTCACAGATCCACCTGCCTCTGCCACCCAAGTGCTGGAATTCAAGGCATGTGCTACCACCACCCAGCCTCATTTTGTTCTTTGAGACAGGGTCTTGCTACATGTAGCTCTGGAACTCATAGCAATCCTCCTGCCTCAGCTTCCTCAGTGCTGGGATTATGCCACCATACCTGGCTTCCATATATTGTACAGACAGGAGAGATATGCGTTATGAAATATATAGTGTCCCCAGACAAAGTCACTCTCCGGGAGCTGGTGGTGTGGTCACAAGAATGACTACATATCACATCTGTGATGCCGACACCTCACTGAACCCAGGGTGGGCTGCTCAGACTTCTCTGCCGACATGTCTATCAGTACTCTGTGGAGAGGGGAGGTCGCCTTCTGTTTTAGACGAACCCGGGTTATATATTCAAATTGGTAGGTAGGGCATAGTGGTGCCCACCAGCAATTTGAACATTCAGGAAGCCGACAGAGGAGGAGCAGGGTTTTTGTTGTTGTTGTTTGGTTTTGTTTGTGAGGCTAGCCTGTGCTATAACAAACCATTGGTGGGCTTCTGTTGGAAGCGTTCATTACTTCAAAACTGTGCGCCATGTTCTGGAACTTTAAAACTTAGGGGCATGCTCAGAAAGACAGGGCTGTTGTAGGAGAGAGTGCTTTCTTCTGTCGGTGGACCCAGAGGATCGGAAGCATGAAAAACAGAACAGGCAGCAAGCAGTGTGGACAATGGAAATGGAAAGGAGGAGAGGGAGGAAGAGGACAAAAAGAATATATAAGCCTGGCGGCGCACACCTTTAATCCCAGCACTTGGGAGGCAGAGGCAGATGGGTCTCTGTGAGTTCGAGAGCAGCCTGGTCTACAAGAGCTAGTTCCAGGACAGGCTCCAAAGCTACAGAGAAACCCTGTCTCAAAAAAACAAGCAAAGATATCTGCTTTGGAGCCAGCGAATGGTTCAACAAGTCCAAGAACACACTGCCAAGCCTGACAGTCCGAGTTTAAATCCTGGTTCCTACATAGGAAAGGGGGAAACTGCCCCCTGTGAGCGGTCTTTTCTCACACACGGAGTAGATGCAAAAGAAACGCTGTCTTTAAAACAACCGGAAGCGTTAGGAAGCCCAGGGAAGAGCACCAATCAGGGGCTGGGGACCTGAGACGGAAGGACAGACGCCTCCTTAGCAGATAACAGTCACCGGCACTGAAGAGAGCAGGTAACCAGGACTTGGAGATCAAGTTCTTCTGTCGGCTGAGAAAACACGGATGAGAACCCACCACTCACTGTCGCCCTCCCCGGGCCCCCACTTCACCATCACCACCGCATCCACTGAGTTCCCAGCCGTGCAATGGTGTCCTGGGCCCTTACACCTATCTGTTACTTTCATTGGTTAATAAAGAAACTGCCTTGGCCCTGATAGGACAAAAAATTAGGTAGGTGGAGTAGACAGAACAGAATGCTGGGAGAAAGAAGCAGATTCAAGCAGACTATAGCTCTCCTCTCCAGGCTGGACGCAGATTAAGATCCTTTCCGGTAAGCCAACATCTCGTGATGTTACACAGATTATTAGAAGTGGGTTAATCAAGATGTGAGAGCCAATAAGAGGCTAAAGCTAATGGGCCAAGCAGTGTTTTAAAGAATACAGTTTCCGTGAAATTATTTCTGGTAAAGCTAGCCGGGTGGCAGGAAGCGGCCCACCGCTCCTATTACTACATACACCTGTATAGCCTGACTGCTGGTGAGGCCTCTTAATGGTTTGAGCCCTTTCTCTAGCCCGTTCCTTCTTGTTTTTCCATCATTTTATTTCTTTTGTGGGAATAAGTGAGAAGACAAGCCACTGGAGTTAATTCTCTTCTCCCATCATAGGGATCTTAGGGACTGAACTCTGGAGTCACCAGGCTTGGCCACTGGCGCCTTTAGCTACTAAGCCATTGATTTTTTTTTTTAAGAAAGGTCTCATTGACTTGAACTTGAGAGCCTTCTGCCTGTGTTCTCAAACGCTGGGATGACAGGTGCTGACCGTCATACCTGACTCCAAGAAGTCACAGACACCATATTCTAATCTATAGCCTCGGCTGTAGCTTCAGGATCGCTGGGGCATCTGCATAGCTGTTATCTGAAACGTCTCAGACTTGGTTATGAAGTCATAAATCTAGTATTTTTTATTTATTATGTATACAATATTCTGTCTGCACACCAGACCTCATTATAGATGGTTGTGAGCCACCTTGTGGTTGCTGGGAATTGAACTCAGGACCTTTGAAAGAGCAGGCAATGCTCATAACCGCTGAGCCATCTCTCCAGTCCCATAAATCTAGCATTTCAGCTGCTCCACTCACTCACCTATCCCAGTGGATGCAAATACATTCTTACCAAGGGAAAAGCTTCCACTGTGAGAAATCATTCTGAGGCTACAATGCTCCCACACTGAATCTACAATGGTTGATTGATTCCCGCGGTCGGATCTGGACCGCTGCAGACTGGATTTCTTTTGCACAGTGAACTGAGGCTCCGTCTTCTTCATCTGAAATCACTTTAGGCATAAACAGAACAATTTCCATGCCCAGCTCTGACTCAGATGCACACTTGGATCCAACTTAGGAATCACCCAGTTAGGGCTTGCCCGTGTAGGAAGTTGGGGGAAGAATGGCTACATTGTGAAGCCGTTGGCACACTTAGAGACCAGCTAGTGTGAGCTACAGGCAGACGGGACTACAGCCAGTGGAGGACTGGCCTAGTTTTAATTTAGAATTCTAAGCAAGAGAATGGAGCTGTTTATGATAAGCCAAAATCACAGTATATGACTCAGACAGGCCCTGGAAGTAACTCGGGAGTTTTGAAAGTCCCGGACACCCTGGCTAGTGCACTTCTCTCTGCCGGACCAACCGCCCCCAAACTCCCGATTCAGAGAGCGGCGGAACATTACACTTCGGCCTCAAGGGATACACGGGGAGCAACTAGAGATCCTGTTGCTTCCTGCTCCGATTGCGGCATCTGGTAGAAATGCAGATTAGCTGGGGCTGTTTAAGAGTTGAGATGCGCCTTAGCCTTCCTGAGAGAGGTGAAGCTGGGCTGCTTTCTCAGTGCAGAGCCCGCTCCGAGCTCACGCCCCTGCCTTTCAGGGACCTGCAGATTCAGCTCTGCTACCTACGCTTGCGCTATGTACGCATGCAAGGCAATTTGTTCTACACTGCGAGTTCCAGTCCGGCCAGGGGTACAAACACAGTGAGGCTCGGTGTTTTTTGTTTTTTGTTTTTGTTTTTATTATTTGTTGCTTCCTGCTACAATTGCGGCATCTGGTAGAAATGCAGATTAGCTGGGACTGTTTAAGATTTGGTCTACACAGCGAGTAGTTTGAAAAACTGTCAAATAATAATCAAATAAATAAATTTTTGCAAAGATGAGAAGTGAGATGGTGGGGAAGAGGGGCAGCCCAGAGCCTTGCCGGCTCTCCTAGTAACCCCAATGGAGACCAGAGTCAGGACAGGTTTGTAATAACTCCTGCCAGGGACCAGGCCTTAGGTTCAGTTCACTGGAGATGCCTGGAGCTGAGCAAACCATTCTTGGAGAAAACCAGACACACACACTCAGGGGCAACCAGTCAAGCCTCCCGGTCCTTCTGCTGGCTCAGCAGACGGCCACAGTCTCCTGATTACTACAGAAATCTGTCCCTGCCCGGCTGCTGGAAGGTCACTAACCACTAGGATCTCCCACCAATCAGCCCCCAGAGTTACCTTTCCTTCACCAATCAGCCCCAGATTAATCCCTCCTCCCTGGAATTCCCCTAACTCCGTTTAAGAGGAGCTTGTGGCCATCTTGGGGGGTTGTCAAGTGCCACCCCAATGTTGGAATTAATAAAGCACTCTTGTTATTGCATACGTGGCTTTTTGTTGTTGTTGTTTTGTTTTTGTTTTTCGAGACAGGGTTTCTCTGTGGTTTTGGAGCCTGTCCTGGAACTAGCTCTTATAGACCAGGCTGGCCTTGAACTCACAGAGATCCGCCTGCCTCTGCCTCCCAAGTACTGAGATTCACCACCACCCGGTTTTGTTTTGTTAGACAAGGTGAGGTCTCCCCACGCTGCTAAAGCTCGTCTCAGATTCCCAAGTAGCTGAACTACAGGCATGAGCCACCACTTCCAGTACCAACTTCTGTTTTAGGTTCAATTCCTCTGAAACAGGCAAATCTGGGGATAGTGCGTGCTGCCAAGCCTGGTGCCCTGAGTTCTAACCTGGGACCCTCGCGGTAGGAGAACCACTCCCACAGTGGCACGCTTCCATTCACACACACAAAGCAGTACTTTTTGTTCAAAGATTTATTTTGTGTGCATTTGGGTTTTTGTTGACATGTATGTCTGTGCATCACATGTATGCCTGGCACCCACAAAGTCCAGAAGAGGGTGCTGGGTTCCCTGGGACTGCAGATAAGGATAGTTATAAGTCACCATGTGGGTGCTGGGAATCAAACCCAGGTCCTCTGGAAGAGCAGCCAGTGTTCTTAATCTCAGTCAGTTCTCCAGCCCCACAAAAACCCGGCCACTTCTTTTATTTTTTAAAGAAAGGCTTCTGTACGGCAGAGGAGGAGAAAAAGACAACCCACGGAATGGCAAAAGTGTTTGCAAGTACACAACTGATAAAAGGGTGATCTCCACATAGGTGAGTACTCTCTAAACCCAATGGTTGTTTTCTTTAAAATGAGCTATGGGGCTGGAGAGATGGCTCAGAGTTTAAGAGCATTGCCTGCTCTTCCAAAGGTCCTGAGTTCAATTCCCAGCAACCACATGGTGGCTCACAGCCATCTGTAATGAGGCCAGGTGCCCTCTTTGGGCCTGCACTGTATACATAATAAATAAATAAATCTTTAAAATGAGCTATGAAGTTGAATAGAC